GGGGTGCGCGGGGGGGGGGGGGGGGGGGGGGGGGGGGTGGGGGGGGTTGGAACTTGCCCAGAAGGCGCCCTTCACCCTTGGTCACGCTGCAGAATAGGGGATGGGGGTGGGCAAGGGAAGGCATTGCCCCTGCAGCAGTTCCCCCCACCCAGCAGGGTGTAGGGAGAGAGCATGTGAAGCATCTATGACCCCCCTCCCAGCCTCAGGCCCCCCACATGTTCCTGGACTACCACTCCCAGAAGCCTTCGCCACTCGCTCTGCTGGGCAGGAATTCTGGGGGTGGTAGTCCAAGAACATCTGATGGGGGTGGGCAAGGGAAGGCATTGCCCCTGCAGCAGTTCCCCCCACCCAGCAGGGTGTAGGGAGAGAGCATGTGAAGCATCTATGACCCCCCTCCCAGCCTCAGGCCCCCCACATGTTCCTGGACTACCACTCCCAGAAGCCTTCGCCACTCGCTCTGCTGGGCAGGAATTCTGGGGGTGGTAGTCCAAGAACATCTGGGGGGCCGGGCCCTTGGGGCACGGGAGAGGCGGAAGGGGGACACGGGGAGACACACACACACACACACACACGCACCCACCCCTGGGCGGCTGACAGACCCGTGGGGTACTTCCTCACCTGTGGGGCGCCGGCGGGGATGGGGGGGCCCTGCCTTCTCCTCCTCAACGGCCGGGCAGCCACCTGCGAGTCGAGGGCGGCGCCATTCGGACGTCCGGGAAGCCCTACGTCACGTGACCCACGCGAACGGCCGGACCCGCCGCCGCCGCCGCCACCGAGCGACACAGGGAGGCGGGGGGAAGTCGGCCTCCTTTCCCCGCGCGTGCGCACCAACCCCTCGCGGCTTTACGCAGGCGCAGGCCCCTTGAAGTTTCGACGGCCGAGCCGCCATCTTTGAGCCGGGTCCCTTGCCTTCGCTTCGGGTGGGAAGGGCGCCGCTTTTCCCCCCGAGAGGGCGGGAGGGAGGGGGAGGAGCAAGAGGCATCTCGCCCCGCCCCCCGAACAACAGGATTAGGAGGCGCGGCGG